AAGAAGCATTTTCTAATGCAATGCAAGGAAGCTAAGAACACTGAGCAAAGGTTAGATGAAATGCTAACCAGAATAATGAGCATAGAGAAGAACACAAATGACTTGATGGAGCTAAAAACAGAGCACAAGAACTTTGTGAAGCATACTCAAGTTTCAGTAGCTGAATCAATCAAGCAGAAGAAAGGATATCTGAGATTGAAGATCAGCTCCATGAAATAAAGTGAGAAGGTAAGATTAGAGAACAAAGAGTGAAAGAAATGAGGAAAGCCTTCAAGAAATATGGGATTATGTGAAAAAAACAAATCAACCTTTCACCAGTGTACCTGAAAGTGACAGGGAGAATAAAACCAAGCTGGAGAACACTCTTCAGGATATTATCCAGGAGAATTTACCCAACCTAGCAAGGCAGGCCAACATTCAAATTCAGGAAATGCAGAGAACACCACAAAGATAATCCTCGAGAAGAAAAACTCCAAGACACATAGTTGTCAGATTCACAAGGGTTGAAATTAAGGAAAAAGTGCTCAGGGCAGCCAGAGAGAAAGGTTGCCCACAAAGGGAAGCCCATCAGACTCACAGCAGATCTTTTGGCAGAAACCCTACAAGCCAGAAGAGAGTGGGAGCCAATATTCAACATCCCTAAAGAAAATAATTTTCAATCCAGAATTTCATATCCAGCCAAACTAAGCTTCATGAGCAAAGAAGAAATAAAATCCTTTATGGACAAGCAACTGCTGAGAGAGTTTGTCACCACCAGGCCTGCCTTACAAGAGCTCCTGAAGGAAGCACTAAACATGGAAAGGAACAACCAGTACCAGCCACTGCAAAAACGTACCAAATTGTAAAGACTGTCGACACTATGAAGAAACTGCATCAACTAATGGGCAAAACAACCAGCTAGCATCAAAATGCGGGATAGAATTCAAAGTCTCATAATTGCTGTGCATATTGTTTCTTCACACCATGCAGCTGTTGCTAGCAGATAGGGGAGTGTTGGTATCAGTGACTCAAGAGTCTTTTCTACCTTCTTTAGTGTCTCTTTCAGGGATATGAAGTTAAAACTAGTTACTGTGAGGGCTCACCTGATTTTTAGTTCTTATAAAGGTGGTGTGCTTGCGTGTGTGTGGTGTGTGTGTGTGTGTGTACATAGATAGTTGTTAACTTGGTGTCCTTACAGGGCATATCATCATTGGAGTCGTCCATCCCTCTCCTACAAGTGCAATTTTATTCCATGCATATATTGCATAGTGGTGAAGTCTTGGCTTTTAGTGTATTTCAGACATGTTTGTGTTTGCCTCATTCCCAGAAGGAGCTGGATTGGCTTTCCTGGGTGATTAAGGATGTCGGGGTGGGTGGGGAGCATTCGCTTAACTCTGTTTCCAGGCAGCTTGCTTCAAAACCTTTCCAGACAGAAGGATTTCAAAAAGCAATAAATTCTCAGAATAAATTCAGTTCTGAGCATTCCATGGCTGGTTTTCAGCCCACAATTTCAGTTCCATCTTGCCAAAACAATTTTTGAGGAAAAACTGAGCAACTCAGAATGATGGTTCAGTGACAGGAGATATTTTTGCCCATGTGAAGGATCTTTAGATCCTGATTCTAGGCCAGAAGGGCATACTTTTTAAATGACATTGGCCAGGATGTTTTTGTGGATCCTTCTTTCACTCCTTGGAAACCCCACACCCTTTTGCTGATGTCTTCAGTGAGCCAGCAAAAGTTATGTGTGACATTGCCTGCTCCATGTTTATGCCATATCTGTCATCATCTGTTTGACTCTGGTGTCTTGATTCCTTAACCTTATATTTTATTACTTATTTATTCTTTAAAGGTATTGCTCTGTTGCCCAGGTTGGGGTGCAGTGGCATGATCATAGCTCACTGCAGCCTCAAACCTTTGGGCTCATGCAATCCTCCTCTCTCAGCCTACTGAATAGCTATAATTAAAGGCATGCTTCACCACACCTAGCTAATTTTTTATTTTTTTGTAGATATGGCGTCTCAAACTCCTGGCCTCAGGCAATTCTCTGGCCTCAACCTCCCAAAGTGCTGAGATTGCAGGCATTAACCACTGTGTTCTGTCCCTAACCTTATTTTCAAGAGGAAAAATTACACAAATATTTTTTAACTATAATCTTATTTATATTTTGTTTTATTTAATAGCATCGCAGAAGAACACACTGATCTGCTCTCATGGTCTGTGAGCTTTCTTCATTGGGGATCTCCTCGTTCTTCACTCCGTTTCCCCCACTCTTTCTCTTCTCACCTGTTCTACCTACTTGGTCCTTTCTTGTTGAAATATCTCTGCTCTATTTTTAAACGTTCTCTCTTGATCTGATCTGCTATGTCTCCTGAGTTCTTAGGCTCATCAACTGTTGGAGGTGCGTGTCTTAGAGATCACCTGCCTCAAGACTGTAATTTGGGGGTAAGGATTTTGAAGCTCAGAGAAGTAGCATGATATGCCCAAAATCCACTGTGAGGCAGAGACAGGAATGAGCCCCATAATCTGCCTTCAGCTCTGGTGCTTCTCTCCACTGGGCTTTCCTTTCTTTTCTGTTACTCTAAGGCAGAGTTTGCAGATTGCCAGCTCAGGGGCCTATTTAGCTCATGGACAAGTTTTGGTTGACCTGCATATAAGTAAATATATATATATTTGTTAATATTTAAAAATGAAGGACTTCATGTGATGTCTTGAGGCAGATAGTAGAGTTGTTAAGTGTATGATTCCTAGTGCCAGGAGTCCCAGTTCAAATCTCAAACTTACTAATGGGTTACCTTGAAGGAATTAATTGGCCAAACCATCCCTTGTTTTCTTTATCTGTACAATAAGATTCATAATAATCCTTACCTCATTGAATTGTTAGCGAAACATACAAGGATGTATGCAAAGTGCTTCAAACAGGGCCTGGAACATGGTACGTGCTCTATATGCTTGTTGATCAGGTGCTTTTTATCATAATTTCGTACTGCTGTGTTTCTCACTCAGAATCAGGAGGCTTTGCCCGTTGTCTCACCTTCCTGGTCCACTTGCCCGTATATACGCCCTCTGCCCTATACAAACTCCTGACTCCATCAAAATGTTTCAGGAACAATGAAACTTTGAAAGCTTTATAAGCTCACTCTTGTTTGAAGGACAACCTGACTGGATCAAAAACGGTGTGGAATAATATACAGTTGAAAATGTAGTGTTGTCACTTGCAGATACGTAGAATAATGCTGCGGTCAGGAGATACTGAGCTAGACAGTAGGTGCCAGAGCAATGTCCTTCAAGTGGCCGATATGGACTCATTGGTGGGAAGAAAAATCAAATTAAAAACTTTTGACAAGATTAAAAAATATATTATGTTCTATGTAATAATGGCATTTTTTTTTATGAAACGCTTTTCAATTACGTATTCATGTGTGTTTGGGATGGGATGTAAAATGCATTTCTTACCGAGCCGTCATCAAAAAGTTAGAAAGCCAACGTGCTAGAGAATGTCGTATTTTAAAGTAGATTGAAATATTTCCCAACTGACCTATTCTTTTAATAATGTACTTCCTCTAAAGTCTTCTCTCTTGAGAAGGCTCTTCTTTATATTATTTATTTGCTTAACATTTCCATAGATACAGGGAAAATTCCATTACCAGAGAATTGCATCAGAAAATTGTCATCTAGCAGATTTTCTGAGTTCATCTAATCATAACACATTCTCACCAGTAATAATGACCTTGTTCAATAAATGCTTTCTCTGGTTCTTGTCCATGTGCATAAGAAAAGTGTGAGACTATGCATGGCTTACACTGTTGGCACAGAGGAGAGGATTTATCTGTTAACAAATCTTTATTCTACCATCAGGTGCAATTTCCTCATCTTACCTCACTCAGTATTTACCAAGGCCTATATTCTGGCTACCTGGAGATAAATACCTTCAACATTGTGCTCAACTTTCACGACATGCCCTATTCTTTCTTGTCCTTCTAAGGCTGTCCTTTAAACTTCTTGTAACTGATTTCAGTTTCATAAACAGAGGAAGGTGGTCCTGAGCTGTTTAAGGTAGAACATGAGGTTGCATGAATCATCCATTCTCCAACTTGAATCCTGGAGGCATCCTATTAGATGAAAAAAGTAGCCAATTCTCCTAAAAGTGTATACTTATTTTATATGATTGTATGACTACACTGATATATTTATATATTGCAAAACACATATAAAAGTAGGAGTAAAAAAGGATGAGATGTTGTATTGGTTCATTATCACACTGCTATAAAGAAATATTTGAGACTGGGTGATTTATAAAGGAAAGAGGTTTAATTGACTCGCAGTTCTATGTGACTGGGAAGGGCTCAGGAAACAGACAATCACGGTAGAAAGGGAAGCAAGCACCTTCTTCTCAACGTGGCAGGAGAGAGAAAGAGTAGAAACGACCAGATCCCATGAGAACTCACTCACGATCACTAGAAAAGTATGGGCGAAACTGCTCCCACGATCCAGCCACCTCCCAGTAGGTCCCTACTTACCTATACTTCAGATTATTCCAAGTCCATTTCTAGACATCATATAATTTTATCTATATGTTTTAGTGCATATCTTTAAAAATGATTATAATACTGACTACATACAAAACAATAAATTTCAAATATTAAATATTTAATGTTCAAATTTTTCTTATTGTTTATAATTTTATTTATATTTTTGAAAATAGAAGGGATGGGCTCAAGATATATTTTGAGGGTAGATCCTACACTAGTTTTTGTTTGATTGGTTGAATGGTGGGGAAAATAGAGGAATTTGAAGGTGAAACTTCAAATTTTTGAAGTTTTTGAATTTTCAAAACTTTGAATTTTCTAGGGGTGTTGTATACTTAAATGAGGGACTATAAGGGTAGATTTGGGTCAGAAGATAAAGCATTCAGCTGTGGAAATATCAAGATGGAAGCAACATGTTAACATTTGAATAAATAAGCCTGAAACTCAAAAAGGGGGTGTGATTTAGAGACATAAATTTGTAAATAAATATAGATACGATTTATTTTTATTTTCTTTTTACTTCTCCTGCTATTTTCTTTCTCTCTCTCTCTTTCTTATTATACTTCAAGTTCTGGGATACATGTGCAGAACGTGTAGGTTTGTTACATACATATACATGTGCCACATTGGTTTGCTGCACCGATCAACCCATCATCTATGTTTTAAGCCCCTCATACATTAGGTATTTGTCCTAATGCTCTCCCTCTCTTTGTCCCCCACCCCCGACAGGCCCCAGTGTGTGATGTTCTCCTCCCTGTGTCCATGTGTTCTCACTGTTCAACTCCCACTTATGAGTGAAAACATGTAGGGTCCGATTCCCTTTTCCCGTGTTAGTTTGCTGAGAATAATGGTTTTCAGCTTTGTCCATGGTCCTGCAAAGGACATGAACTCATTCTTTTTTATGGCTGTATAGTGTTCCATGGATATATGTGCCACATTTTCTTGATCCAGTCTATGATTGATAAGCATTTGGGTTGGTTCCAAGTCTTCGCTGTTGTGAATAGTGCAGCAATAAACATACATGTGCATGTCTTTAAAGTGGAATGATTTTTAATCCTTTGGGTATATATCCAGTAATGGGATTGCTGGGTGAAATGGTATTTCTGGTTCTAGATCCTTGAGGAATTGCCACACTGTTTTCTGCAAAGATTGAACTAATTAATGCTCCCACTAACAGTGTAAAAGCATTCCTATTTCTTCACATCCTCTCTAGCATCTGCTATTTCCTGACTTTTTAATGATCACCATTTAACTGGTGTGAGATGGTATCTCAATGTGGTTTTAATTTGCATTTCTCTATTGACCAGTGATGATGAGCTTTTAAAAATATGTTTATTGACCACATAAATGTCTTCTTTTGAAAAGTGTCTTTCCATATCCTTTGCCCACTTTTTGATGGGATCGTGTGTTTTTTTCTTGCAGATTTGTTTAAGTTTCTTGTAGATTCTGGATATTAGCCCTTTGTCAGATGAATAGATTGCAAGAATTGTCTCTCATTCTGTAGGGTGCCAGTTCACTCTGATGATAGTTTCTTTTGCTATGCAGAAGCTCTTTAGTTTAATTAAATCCCATTTGTCACTTTTGGCTTTTGTTGCTATTTCTTTTGGGATTTTAGTTATACAATCTTTGCCTATGCTTATGTCCTGAGTGGTATTGCCTAGGTTTGGGTTTTTATGGTTTTAGGTTTTACATTTAAGTCTTTAAACCATCTTGAGTTAATTTTTGTATATGGTATAAGCAAAGGGTCCAGTTTCAGTTTTCTGCATATTGCTAGCGAGTTTTCCCAACACCACTTATTAAATAGGCAATCCTTTCCACATTGCTTGTTTTTGTGAGGTTTGTCGAAGATCGGATGGTTGTTGATGTGTGGCATTATTTCTGAGGTCTCTGATCTGTTGCATTGGTCTATATATCTATTTTGGTACCAGTACAATGCTGTTTTGGTTACTGTAGCATTGTAGTATAGTTTGAAGCCAGGTAGCATGTTTCTTCCAGCTTTGTTCATTTTGCTTAGGGTTGTCTTGGTTATGCGGGCTACTTTTTGGTTCCATATTAAATTTAAAGTAGTTTTTTCCAATTCCTGTAGACAGTCAATGGTAGCTTGATGGGAATAGCATTGAATCTATAAATTACTTTTGGGCAGGGGGGCCATTTTCTTGATATTGAGTCTTCCTAACCACAAGCATAAAATGTTTTTCCATTTGTTTGTGTCCTCGCTTATTTCCCTGAGCCGTGGTTTGTAGTTTTCCTTGAAGAGGTCCTTCGTGTCCCTTGTAAGTTGTATTCTTAAGTATTTTATTCTCCTCGTAGCAATTGTGAATGGGAGTTCACTCATGATTTGGCTCCCCGTTTGTCTATTATTGGTATATAGGAATGCTTGTGATTTTTGCACATTTGGGGTGGAGCATTCTGTAGGTGTCTATTAGATCCACTTGGTCCATAACTGAGTTCATGTTCTGAATATCCTTGTTAATTTTCTGCCTCATTGATCTGTCTAATATTGACAGTGGAGTGATAGAGTGTCCCACTATTGTGTGGGAGTCTAAGTCTCTTTGTAGGTCTCTAAGAACTTGCTTTATGAATCTGGGTGCTCCTGTATTGGGTGCGTATGTATTTAGGATTGTCAGCTTTTCTTGTTGCATTGAACTCTTTACCATCATGTAATTCCCTTCTTTGTCTTTTTTGATCTTTGTTGGTTTAAAGTCCGTTTTATCAGAGATTAGGAATGAACCACTGCTTTTTTTTTGCTTTCCATTTGCTTGGCTAATCTTCCATCCCCTTATTTTGAGTCTATGTGTGTCTTTGCCTGTGAGATGGTTCTACTGAATACAGCACACTGATGGATCCTGACTCTTTATCCAATTTGCCAGTCTGTGTCTTTTAATTGGGACATTTAGTGCATTTACATTTAAGGTTTATATTGTCATGTGTGAATTTGATCTTGTCATCATGATGCTACCTGGTTATTTTGCCCATTATTTGATGCAGTTTCTTCATAATGTTATTGGTTTTTATATTTTGGTATGCTTTTGCAGTGGCTGGTACTGATTATTCCTTTCCATATTTAGTGCTTCCTTCAGGCCTGGTGGTGATAACAGCCCTCAGCATCTGCTCATCTGTAAAGAATTTTATTTCTCCTTTGCTTATAAAGCTTAGTTTGGCTGGATATGAAATTCTGGGTTGAAAATTCTTTTCTTTAAGAATGCTGAGTATTGGTCCCTACTCTCTCGTGGCTTGCAAGGTTTCTGCAGAGAGGTCTGCTGTTAGTCTGATGGGCTTTCCTTTACAGGTAACCTGACCTTTGACTCTGGCTGCCCTTAATACTTTTTTCTTCAATTTAACCTTGGTGAATCTGACAATTATGTGTCTTGGGGTTGCTCTTCTCGAGGAGTATCTTCTGTTTTTCCTGAATTTGAATGTTGGTCTGTCTTGCTGGGTTGGGGAAGTTCTCCTGAAGTGTCTTTTCCAACTTGGTTCCATTCTTCCCATAACTTTCAGGTACACCAATCGATTATAGGTTTGTTGTTTTCACATAGTCCCATATTTCTTGGAGGATTTTTTTCATTCCTTTTCAATCTTTTTTCTTTTTCTTTTTTTTTTTTTTTTGAGACAGAGTTTCACTCTTGTTACCCAGGCTGGAGTGCAATGGCGCAATCTCGGCTCACCGCAACCTCCGCCTCCGGGGTTCAGGCAATTCTCCTGCCTCAGCCTCCTGAGTAGCTGGGACTACAGGCACACACCCCCATGCCCGGCTAATTTTTTGTATTTTTAGTAGAGACGGGGTTTCACTATTTGACCAGGATGGTCTCAATCTCTTGACCTTGTGATCCACCCGCCTCGGCCTCCCAAAGTGCTGGGATTACAGTTGTGAGCCACCATGCCCAGCCCATTCTTTTTTCTTTTATCTTGTCTTCCTGCCTTATTTGAGTAAGTTTATTTTCGATCTCTGATATCCTTCCACTTGATTGATTCAGCTGTTGATACTTGTGTATGCTTCACAAAATTCTCATGCTGTTTTTCAGTTCCATCAGGTTATTTATGTTCCTCTGTAAACTAGTTATTCTAGTTAACAGTGTCTGTAATTTCTACTAAGGTTCTTAGCTTCCTTGCATTGGGTTAGAACATGCTTTTTTAGCTCAGAGGAGTTGGTTATTACCCACCCTCTGAAGCCTACTTTTGTCAATCCATCAAACTTTTTCTCCATCCAGCTTTGTGCCCTTGCTGAAGAGGAGTTGTAATCATTTGGAGAAGAGGCATTCTGGTTTTTGGAATTTTCAGCCTATTTGTGTTGTTTCTTTTCTTCATGGATTTATCTACCTTTGATCTTTGATGCTGATGACCTTTGGGTAGGGTTTTTATGTGGGTGTCTTTTTTGTTGATGTGGATGTTATTACATTCTGTTTGTTAGTTTTTCTTTTAACTGTCAGGCCCCTCTTCTGCAGGTCTGCTGGAGTTGCTGGAGGTCCACTCCAGTCCCTGTTTGCCTGGGTATCACCAGTGGATGCTGCAGAAAAGCAAAGATTGCTTCCTGCTCCTTCCTCTCGAAGCTTCATCCCTGAGTGGCACCTGCCCAATGTCAGCCAGAGCTTGCCTGTATGAGGTGTCTGTTGACTCCTGCTGTGAGGTGTCTCCCAGTCAGGAGGCACAGGGGTCAGGGACCTACCTGAAGAGGCAGTCTGTCCCTTAGCAGAGCTCAAGTGTTGTGCTGGGAGATCTGCTGCTCTCTTCAGAGCTGGCAGGCAGGAACGTTTGTCTGCTGAATCTGCACCCACAACCGTCCCTTCCCTCAGGTGATCTGTCCCAGGGAGATGGGAGTTTCATCTATAAGCCCTGACTTAGGCTGCTGCCTTTCTTTTAGAGATGCTTTGCCCAGTGAGGAGACATCTAGAGGTGCAGTCTGGTCCAAGCTGCTTTGCTGCACTGTGGTGGGTTCTGCCCAGTCTGAACTTCCCAGCTTCCTTAACACTGTGAGGGGAAAAGCACCTACTCAACCCTCAGTAATGGCGGATGCCACTCCCCTCACCAACCTCGGTCATCCCAGTTCAACTTCAGACTGCTGTACTGGCAGTGAGAATTTCAAACCAGTGGATCTTCACTTGTTGGGCTCTGTGGGAGTGGGACCTGCTGAGCAAGACCACTTTGATCCCTGGCTTCAGCCCCTTTTCCAAGGGAGTGAATGGTTCTGTCTGGCTGGGGTTTCAGGCACCACTGGGTACAAAAAAAAAAAAGACTCCTGCAGCTAGCTTGGTGTGTGCCTGAACAACTGTCCAGTTTTATGCTCAGAACCAAGGGCCCTGGTGGTGTAGGCATACAAGGGAATCTCCTGGTCTGCGGGTTATAAAAAACCGTAAGAGAAGTATAGTATTTGGGCCAGATAGCACAGTCCCTCACAGCTTCCCTTGGCTGGGGATGGAGGTCCCCAGACCCTTTCACTTCCCAGGTGAGGTGATGCCTGCCGTGCTTCTGCTCACCCTCTGTGGGCTGAACTCACTGTCTAACTAGTCCCAATGAGATGAACTGAGTGCCGCAGCTGGAAATGCAGAAATCACCTGCCTTCTGCATTGGTCTCACTGGGAGTTGCAGACTGGAGCTGTTCCTATTTGGCCATCTTCCACAGATAATATTTAAAACTTGGAGAATAAAGGAGACAAATGACAGAGAGACCAATAAAAGAAGAGTGCTCTGGCCTAGGCCTGACCAACCTAATGTCCCTGAGGAGAATGAGAGGAAGGGATCACAGAAGAATTGAGCATGTGGTGCTCCTGAAACTCAGAAACGTGGCTCGAGAAAGCTGCAGGGTGTCGAAAGCTGCCGAGAGGTTTACTGCAATGAAAATGGAAACATGCTTAACTGGTCTGAGACCGTGATCCTCCACTTGCATTCATTCTGCTTTTGGGAGAGCCACCTAATGCATTTGGATTGCAGCTTCATCATCTGTAAAATAGCTGTGCTTGTGAAAAGAACGGTTTGCTTGGGAAGTGCCAGACGTCGCATCAGACAGTGCAAGGTGGTTAAGTGTGGAGGTGAGGGTGAAGGCGATGGCCGGCTAACTAAAAATCTATGAAACGTGAGCCTATGCACGGGACGATCGTATTTAACTGCACAGGACAGAGGAAGGGATTTTCCGTATCACTCTGTAAAGTATCTACTACTAGGTGGATTTTCCGTATCACTCTGTAAAGTATCAAGTACTAGGTAAATACGAAGTATTATTTCGGTTTACTGAGAATATACATATCAGAGGGAATTGAGGACTTGTGGCAGCTGTGTTTTAAGTTAGATATAGCCATGATGGGTGATCTCACGTAGAAGAAGCTGGAGGCTGAATTATCAGGTCTGTGAACCCAAATGTTAGTGCATCAGAAATTAAGAGGCCCCTGAAGCTTTGAGATTGCCTTGCCTCTGGTCTTCCTGAGTCACAGCCACTGGGAGACTTTGCCCTGTTCTCATATCACAGAACTATCTGGATAATCTGAGGCCACCTGCTGGGTGTTCAGGCCAGAACATCTCTCTTTTTGGTACCACTCTCAGAATTGCCCACTTCTACCTGCTACCACAAACACATTTAATATTATATGGGGGAGATAGTGGAGGAGGAGAAGGATCCCTTTCCCTAGGGCCTTGCCATGGAAATAATGTTGAGGCTCCCCCTGTTTCCTAGTGTACCATGCAGGGAGAAATCACCAGGTCTGCATGGAGCAAATCCTGTGCATTTGGGAACCTCATGTACAGTGAACGCGTAATAAATACTTGCTTTTAAAAAAGGGAATAAGTTGCAATTCATACCATGTGTTTTAGTGACAGGCAAGGTTAGCCTCTGCCATTGGCCTATGGTGTCAGCTTTGTGGGATGATTTTGCAAATGCTATTCTGTTTCCACATTAGTAGCTTTCTGGATGCTTACAATTTTACTTTTAGAATTCACCCTTTGGGCTGGGCGCGGTGGCTCAGGCCTATAATCCCAGCACTTTGGGAGGCCGAGGTGGGTGGATCACGAGGTCAAGAGATCCAGACCATCCTGGTCAATGAGGTGAAACCCCATCTCTACTAAAAATACAAAAAATTAGCTGGGCATGGTGGTGCATCCCTGTAATCCCAGCTACTCAGGAGGCTGAGGCAGGAGAATTGCCTGAACCCAGGAGGTGAAGGTTGTGGTGAGCTGAGACCGCGCCATTGCACTCCAGCCTGGGTAACAAGAGTCAAACCCTGTCTCAAAAAAAAAGAATTCACCCCTTGATAGGCATTGTTCTCTGACAAAATGCAAGTGAGAGCAAAATCACATCCATAGTTTTTAATATCTAATTGCATTTGAGTTGTGTGGATCTCTCTTGAGAGCAGAGTTTGAAAGGGATGTTGAGAAACTGGGGAGCTGAAGGAGGTGGGGAACTACATAGAAAATGGGGGCTCCAAAAATCCAATTCTACAGATTTCACAGTGGTGCCTAAAACTAGTCCTGATCAGTAGCTTTGGCAAGGCCATTATCCGAGGACAACGTGTGCTCCCTCTCACTCTTTCTGCTTTCATTAATTCTTTTATACTTCACTGTGAATATGTGTTGTGTCAAATGCCCCACACATATTCTTAATGCAGTTACATCCAGATGCACAAAGAGCTTTCGGGTAACGTTTTTAAGTCTCTCTCAGCTTCCAGTTTTGTGCGACTGATTGATTAACACAGTAACATGAGCAAACACGAAGTAGCAGAGCTTCAGGTGACACATTTAATTAACGACATTCAGGCAAGCAGAGAAAGATAAGCATTCTGGTAGCAGCCAGTTACAAGTTACAGATTAATGAATGCAGTTTCTGGTTTCAGAGATTTTACTATTTTATTCTATAACACTGGGATCAACATTCATCAGCTCAGAAGGGGGAAGGTGCAGGCCCGCTAAGCAAGGCAGTCTAAGGACAGCTTTCGCTTTTGCTCTATCTGCACAGCAGATGAGATAGAATTACCAAAAGTAATCTGACCTCTAGTGGCACCTTGTATTAACAAGCACATTTGAAATCGCTTAGGAATTTTGCTGTGAGAATTGTACTATCATTCAATCTTACAGCTGGAAGAAACCTTAGATCATCTGCCAAGCAGATGTTCTGCTTGGCAGGTTTCCACCCACTGCCCTATTTTACAATGAGGAGACTGAGGCCTGGAGATATTGATGGGCGATGGTAAAAATTAAATAGCTAATTGATAGAAAAGTCACTGGTGACAGAATCCAAATCGTTAACCTTTGTTAATTTTAATTTTTGTGGATACGTAGTAGGTGCCTACATTTATGGGGTGCATAAGATGCTTTGACACAGGCATGCAGTAAGTAACAATGACATCATGTAAAATGGGGACCCATCCCTTCAGGTATGTATCCTCTGGATTATAAACAATCTAGTTATACTTTTTTAGTTATTTTAAGATGCACAATTAAATTATCAGTGACTATAGTCACTCTGTTATGCTATCGAATACTAGGTCTTATTAATTCTTTCTTACTATTTTTGTATTCATTAAACCATTCCCATCTCCCGTATACCTTCCTACCACCCTTCCCAGCCTCTGGTAACCATTCTTCTAGCTCCAGAGTCCAGGTTTGTAGATTTCTACATCATTACGACTGTGTTAGTGGAGAAGTGTCAATATGCAACTTTGTAAGATTCTTGATAAGAATAAGCTTAGGTGTATAAAATTAATGGCTGTCTGAATACTTTTGGTTCCATACGTGTATGTTTTAGCCCAAAGTTCCAAAGTTTTATGGCGTTCTCTAAGTCAAGATAACTGACTTTAGTCTAGCTACATTTAAATGGTGAATTCCTTTGACTTTTTGAGTCAATGGTTTATAACTATCGCTCTTAGGAAGTGAGATGGTTGGAATGATTTAATCGGACCAACAATTCAGTGAACTAATCTATTATTCAGTTCTAAATTTTGGGAATATTCAAATTGGTACAAGGTATGACTCTTTTTATTCTCAATTGCAGGGTTTTTAATCAAACAACAGGCAGTGTTAACTAGTTGAAAAGAACTCAGACTTCGGGTTTGAGTAGACCTGGGTTAGAATTCTGGATTCTTCTCTGCATTCATTTTTATTGCTGCCATAACAACTTACCACAAGCTGAGTGACTTAAAGCAACACAAACTTATTTTCCTCTATTTCTGGAGATCAGAGGCCCCAGATACATTTTAAGGGGCAACAAGGTGTCAGAAGGCTTGGTTCCTTCTGGTGGCTTCAGGGGAGAATTCATTTCTTCACGCTCCCACTTCCGAAGGTTGCTGACATTCCTTGGCTCCTGGCTACATCACCCCAACGTCTGTTCCGTGGTCATACTGCCTTTCCTTCTGTAGTAAAATTTCCCCTTTATGAGGATACACATGATCACATTTATGGGCCACCTGGATTCCTAGAGTAATCTTCCCATCTTTGAATTCTGATTTTAATCACATCTACAAAGTCTCTTTGGTCATGTAAGGTAACATTAATAGGTTCTAGGGGTTATGATATGAACTTGAGTCTCATTTTAATAATTCTCTTATGTGCTCTTTGATTCTTAGGTTTTTGTTAGCTAAACCCTAGGAAGCCGTGACCTTGATGAGGTGGCACATGCTTTTCAGCCCTCTACAATCTGTTACCAGCTGTGTGATCTAGGTCTAATCATCTTAACCAAGCTTATCGTATTGGTTGTGAGGATTAAAACAGAGAATAGATAAGACGTATCTAGCAAGCCACCTGGAGCACAACAGGTGCTCAGCAATAGCGATGTTCTCTTCTGTTCCCTTGGTTTAATCAGTAGATAACATCTCTAAAGGTAGAGATTATGCGTATAGTGGAGGAGGTTTATATTCCGTGTAGTCCAAGATGTGGTTTTTAGAGGCAGAATTACCATTGGGTGGATTAAGTGGAAATCACAAATCCCTGAAATGCGGTATTTCTCAGTCCAGCCTTTCCCGAAAGATGAATTCCTCGCTCCACCCTCCTGAACAGCGGAGCTTGCATTTTGATTTCGAAAACTTGATTACTTTCTTTCTTTTCTTTTTTTTTTTTTTTTTTTGAGACGGAGTTTCGCTGTTGTTACCCAGGCTGGAGTAACAGCCTGGTAACTTCACCTGGTAACTCTCGGCTCACCGCAACCTCCGCCTCCTGGGATCAGGCAATTCTCCTGCCTCAGCCTCCCGAGTAGCTGGGATTACAGGCACGCGCCACCATGCCCAGCTAATTTTTTTTTTTTTTTTTTTTTTGTATTTTCAGTAGAGACGGGGTTTCACCTTGTTGACCAGGATGGTTTCGATCTCTTGACCTTGTGATCCACCTGCCTCGGCCTCCCAAAGTGCTGGAACTTGATTACTTTCTTCATCAGACTGTCCTTTCCTAGTTTGCATAGATAAAAATTTCATTGCTGGTAATCAAATTAATTGTCTTTTAAAATAATTATGTCCTGTGGCAATCGATTATGCAAGTCTACAGATGGCACATAAAGTATGTGCTGCATGGAATGATAACAGAATATGAACTATATTCAGGTTTACCCTGTTTCATGGGTTCTACTTGGCCATGGGCTTGGTCTACGTGAGAGGGATACTTAAGAAAATGTACTGCTGTATTTGGCTTCTTACGCTTTGCTTCCCTCCTCTTTCTATCATCTTTTACAACACAGATTTAGAGAAGACGTGTGTAGTAGCACTCAGTTGCTTTGATCATTGGTAATGATGTCCAACAACTTGATGTGAAATGATTCACTGATTGTCACTCTGAAAACCTGACTTTGAACATCTTTCTTAGCGACGCCATTAATTACAGGGTACAGTCTGGCTGTCATCAAGCTGAATGTGGCCTTCAGAAGCAGTCTGCTTGGGCAGCATGGGATTCAAAATGTTTACTTTGCGTGTGTTCAGATGGGCAAACACTGTAGTTTCTCCCAGTGACAATACCTCCCATAATGGGCTGTTGCATGCATTGATGCCTCTCCAGGGAGCAAACTGACATACAGAAAAAAGGTGAGGAAGAAAAGGCTGACATCTATTGCTCCTTAAAATGATTTTCTCCCGAATCAAGACATGGGTCTATCCTACGCACACGGCTACACATGGTTGCTTTTACTTTACAATGGCCCTTCCTTTCCTCCACTGTTCCAGATTTGCATTAAGCTGTCACCCAGTGGCAGTGTAATAGCTGCTTTTGTGACTGTTATAGACAAGTAACTGAAGATACCTAGATCCCGTTTATATAAAACTAGCATTACAGGTTCTGAAAAATATTTTTCTCTAACATTCTGTGATTCCATGTTTTAATAATTTTGTTATTGGAAAAGGTAACTTTTGCCAATGAAGAAAAAAACACAGTAAATTGAGAGGAGGAGAAAAGGGCTGCATAGACAGGTGAAAAGACCTTGAAAGAAAGGAGAGGAGAGACGGCAGCAGTCTCAACTACACGTAATATGCACTGGTGAGTCTGGCCTGGAAATAAGTTTCTTCGACAATATCTCCTGTAGGTACTTTGCTCTGCTTTATTTTACCTTTATCAGATGGTCACTAAGGTTTCTTAAGCTAAAAAATTATTTGGTCCTCATTGCCACCTCCGTGTGCCATATTTGACCTCTGTGCAAGTTCGAATACACCGGCCATTGGGAGCCACACAAATTTGTTAATAGAAACTTCTATATTCTGTGTCAATCCTTTGTGCCCTATATTATTTTGTGCTGCTATGCAGCAAAAATTACTGGCAAGTTGAAAATATTCTACAGGTAGAATTTTCAGTAAGAAGCTTGATAAATACAAAACCAATGTTACAGGTTATCACTAAACTAACATGTTGCGAATGTGCAATTCTAGCCCTGGGCAGAATGGATATCTCCAGATATTGGTTTTCTGCAGCTATATGGATACTCTGCCCCATAAAAGGTAGGGTGTTTTTCAGCCACAAAAGCCTTAACCGACCTGCGGTGACGGACTCGGGAAAAGCTTGAACTAGTTTGTGGATCACCGGGAAGCCAGAGTTGCAGCTGACTTTCTGTCCACTAGATGGCGGAAGAGGAGTATGGAAAAAGGACCAGCTCGGGCTGTTTATCATGTTGACTGCTACGAAGCTGGGGGGAAGCCATCGGTCATCAGGTAAGACCCACAGCCGAAATTTATGGATTTCATACCTTAGTGGAAAACACCAGCTCCGAGCTCATGGCTGTTTCTCATTTTGATTTTATATAAAAATTCCATTTTACTATCATCGTCAAATAGCCGTCCCCACTTTTCCTTGATTTTGGCATATTTTAGTTTTTACAGCTGAATCAGTGGATGGGCTTCATTTTCAGGCAGCCCCAAGTCCCGGGGCGCCCTGACAGGAGCAGGAAGGATGGCATCTGCCTCTGTGCAGGTGCGCTTCGTCAGCAGCGCTTAGGCCATCTGACCCGGGGGGCGGGGGGCGGCATGTGCAGCTGCTCAGGTGGGTTTTGTTTCTGCCTCCTATCAAGATTCACACGGTGAGAAAATTGTCAAACAGGAAGACGATTTAGATGCTGGTTTAGGCAACCAGAGACAGTGATATGGGAATATTGACCAAGACTAGATTGAGCTGGTCATCCATAATGGGTGGGACGCTTCAGCACGAACTAGCAGCCCCAATCCTCCCTCCACTGCCCCACACGATCCTTCTGCTTCTCTATTCCCTTCTCTTCTTTACTGCCCAGCAGATCCTGAATCTGGAACCTGAAGGGGCGGTTCTTGGTCCCCTTCCAGCTTTGGATTCTCGAACTCTGTTTTCTGTTGAGTTTTACCTTGCCTAGGATTCCAGGCTTCTTCTAAGAAGTATTCATCTCCTGCTTGGGGAGCATAGCTCTAAGAACATGAACAGACTGACCGTGGCCATGTCTGCCCGTGTCCCTCTGCCCCTAAAATGCATCTCTTAATGTAGACAATTGTCTGGGTCACATCCGAGTGAGTCTTTTCTTTTCTTTTCTCTTTCTTTCTTTCTCTCTCTCTCTCTTTCTTTCTTTCTTTCTTTCTTTCTTCTTTCTTTTCCTTCCTTCCTTCCTTCCTTCCTTCCTTCCTTCCTTCCTTCCTTCCTTCCTTCCTTCCTTCTTCTTTCCTTCCCTCCTCCTTCCTTCCTCTTCTTTCATCTCTCTTTCTATTTTGTTTCTTTCTTTCCTTTTCTTCCTTCTTTCTCTCTCTTTCTTTCACTTTCTTGCTTTCCCTCCTCTTCCTCCTCCTTCACCTTCTCTTCTCCTTTGCTTCTTTTTTGAGACAGAATCTCACTCAGTCACTGCCCAGGCTGCCTTGCAGTGGTGTGATCCTAGCTCATGCAATCTTGACTCTTGGGCCTCTCAGTGATCCTCCCCTCTCAGCCTCCTGAGTACCTGGGACTGCGGGTGCATGACATCTCACCCAGCTAAGTTTTAAAGTTTTTGTAGAGACAGGGTTTCACTACACTGCCCAGGCTGGTCTCAAACTCATGGCCTAGAGTGATCCTCCCACCTCAATCTACCAAAGTGCTGGGATTACAGGCATGAGCCACCATGCCTGGTGCATCCCAGCTTTTTAATAAACTGTAGCACCAAATAAATACCTTGGGAATGAGGGGAAGGAAAGGAGCCAGGCAGAGTCTGAGACAAAGCCTGAATTACTCCAACCTCAAAAAAAGTCAATTTTGTGGTGCCTTCTATTTTATTTCAAAAATGTTTGTGAGGTTTGCATTCTAGCAACATGTATGTATGTTTGTTTTAATATATTAAAATATATTTAATTGCTTTGACATTGAGTAAAATTGCTCCAGGAAAATGCAACATGCTTATCCCGTGATTTTGAGTCCTTTTGGCCATATTGAGAATGACCCCTTGAATCTGAGTTTCTCGGTTAATATCAGGTAGGAGTAGTTGTCAGGTGATGGGTTTGGAAATCAGATTGAACTCAGTTTATTCTAACACAGTTAACTAATTGTGTAACCTTGGACGTAATGTAGGGCCTCTCAGCCTCATTTTTTAAAAACATAAACAGAAATAATTGTAACCATATAGAGTTGTTGTGAGGTGTAGATGCTAGAATGTGCACAAAAGGACAGCAAGTGTATAAAGCACTTAGGACCTGACACACAAGGGGCCCACTCAATAAATGTTCTATCAATTTTATGAACGGGCCATTTGGATACCGCATTCAACAGTCCTTTGATCCCATTTGCTGAATATGAACTTAGTCTGGTACTTTTAAGAGTGCCAGGTTAAAATACGGCTTCTTGCAAGGCAAAGGCAACCTGTAAAATATTAGAGTTGCTTTAATGTTGTTCCCTGTGGCTTGTGCCTCTTTCAGTTAAGGCCACCGTATAAGGAAAAACACTTTCAGTTTAGAGAAAAGGAGTGGGAGTGGGGTGAGATCAGGGCTTGTTTTTCAATCTATGCTGAACTCTTTGGCTCTGAGAGGAGCCGATGACTTGGCAGTTGGCAGCCAGCTGATGGCAGAAGCTTTTTAGAAGCCAGAGCAAGACAACATTTCCAAGAAGACAGGAGAGTTGTAATTGGCTCTGGCTAAAATTCAGTTTTTAAGTTTGGTTTCTGATCCCCTAGAAGGACTATAGTTCCCTTTTCACTCTTGGCTCCCAACAAAGCAGAGATGGAAGTCCTGCAGGGCTCAGGGCCTAGTTAATTCTCCATGTTGGCTCAAAGCATTTTGGAAGAAGATCTGAGAAGTAGCCATCTTATATGATCTCTTGAAGGAAACTTGTTCATATAGGGCAAGTAAGGAAATGTGTTTTGTCTCTGACCCATTGGAGTTTGTGCAGACTGAGTAGATACTGCCCACTTCAAACACAAGTATCACCTAGATGATACTTAAATCTACTAGATTTAAGGCATTGCCTCAAGTTCTCTTGGCTATAAACACGTTTTATGCCTTGGCCTGGCACTCAAGTACTTTATGCATGAGCAGGGCAAACAGCACATTCTTAGGCAACACTGTACTTAATGCAATCACTAATGTAAGCTCCACTGTCACAAGGACTCTCATAATCAAGCAATTAATCTGACAAACATAAGGTACACACAAGATCTGAAACTGTATGGGGTGGGTTTGACTGAACAAGATATGAAGCTTGTACCATCTAGTTGGAGGAGGCAAATAAACAGGTAATTATGATGCAGTCTCTAGGAGAAGGTGCCCGCTCCACCTGAGGGAGACAGGTGAGGCCTTACGTCTGAGTGTGTTGACAGACTCATGTCTTTGTAAGGCCTGTGTGGTTGTTGCAAGCAGATTGGATTAGATTAATTTAGCTGGTGTTAGCACTTTGGGAGGCCGAGTCGGGTGGATCACGAGGTCAAGAGATTGAGACCATCCTGGTCAACATGGTGAAACCCCGTCTCTACTAAAAATACAAAAAATTAGCTGGGCGTGGTGGCACGTGCCTGTAATCCCAGCTACTCAGGAGGCTGAGGCAGGAGAATTGCCTGAACCCAGGAGGCGGAGGTTGCGGTGAGCCGAGATGGCTCCATTGCACTCCAGCCTGGGTAACAAGAGTGAAATACCATCTCAAAATATAAAAAAAAGAAAGAAAGAAAGAAAGAAAGAATAATTTAGTTGGTGTTGAAAAGGAAAGGATGAATATTAAAGACATCTTCAACTTTAAAAGCTAAAGGACGGCTTGCAGGTCTCCGTAACTTGCGACGTAGAGAATTACAGGAAAGGAGAAGTGTCTGGTGCTTCTAAGGCGCAGGACGGCGCGCCCAGTCGAATGGTGGTGTCATGACACGGAAGGAGAACATAACGATGACCAACTAACTTTGGCTTTGAGAGCAAGATAAATTTGCAGTTTACTGTTGAAACTTGAGATGTAACTTCTAAGCATATATTGAGGAATTTATTCGTAACTTAGGCTGTTGGGATTTTTTTACCGAGTCCTTACTCTGTATATGCACTGACAATATCTAACATGTTGAAACGCATAAAATGAAAGTATATTTTGTATAAGCTTGGGAAGGATTATCAGAAATTGTTAGAAAGCAAGTTGGATTAAATTAAAGGCATTTGCTACTAATATTAATAAAGCTATAAATTAAGGGGATGTGGAAATGCTAATGAATGAGTAAAGTGAGAAAAGTTATAATTAAAAAATTAAAGTAATGTTTTCTCAGAGGTCCTTTGTGACAAAAATAATAAATTTTCCCCAATTCTCTTGCCTTTACTTCTTGAAGGTCTTTTAAATCTGCCTCGTCTTCAAACACGTTTTCATGGTTTTCGCTAAAGCGTTCCCTCTTCATATTCTGGGTTAATAAGAATCTATTAAGTTTCCACCTTGCGTTAGTCTCATTACCTCAGCCCACCTTCCACACTGTGGTTTGAATGACCACTCAAAGGACACATTATCATATGACATCCTCTGTATCCATGTGTCGCTGGTTCTCCCACTTCCACAGCGTCTTAGCACTCTTTTAGATTCCAGTGTTTTCACTTTTCACCCCACATAACTGTACACACGTGGACTCCCCATATTAAGGTGTGTCCTTTTTGAGTCTAGGGACAAGGTCTTCTTCATTTCTGCATTTCCTAGGTCTAGAAACATATCTTTCTCTTACTATAGTCTTAATAAATCTGGGTTTATTATGGGCTGAATTTGGCTTCACAAATTCATATGGTGAAGCCCCCATCCCAATGTATGTGGAGATGGGACTCTTTAGAAGGTTAAGTAAGGTGAAGTCCTAATTCAAAAGGTGTTCTCACAAGAAGTGGCAGAGACAACAGGAGTAGAGCCTGTGCAAAGATGAAAGACCATGTGAGAACACAGAGAAGGTGCTGTCTGCAAGCCGAGGGGAGAGGCCTCATCATACATGAACCACACGGAGAAGATGCTGTCTGCAAGCCGAGGGGAGAGGCCTCATCATATATGAACCACACGGAGAAGGTGCTGTCTGCGAGCCGAGGGGAGAGGTCTCATCATATATGAACCACACGGAGAAGGTGCTGTCTGCAAGCCGAGGGGAGAGGCCTCATCATATATGAACCACACGGAGAAGATGCTGTCTGCAAGCTGAGGGGAGAGGCCTCATCATATATGAACCACACGGAGAAGGTGGTGTCTGCAAGCCGAGGGGAGAGGCCTCATCATACATGAACCACACGGAGAAGGTGGTGTCTGC